ATTTTAGCAAATGGCTGCAATGAAACAAAGAGTGAAAAATTTAAAGGCGTCTGAATACTTTCCGTACCCACTGTATACAGGACTATCTAGTGAAAGAATCTATCACACTGTAGATTTTGTTTCCATATAATTAAGAGAATACATGTAAAAATACACTATGCTATAAAAGGGCATTTATCTACATTTAGTCAGTTACCAAAAGTACAAAATGTAAAAGTACTCATTACTCAGAATATCATTAATGAATTAGAATTATTTATAAATTAACATTGTACTTGAGTAAATGTCCTCAGTAACTTTCCACCATTTGTGCTGTTGACTCAATTTCTAAAGAAAGTGACTTCAGTTGAAAGAGTTTCGTTTTACGACTGAGAAACAAAATCCAGTTTTTCTGCTTGCTGCTTTTTAGAAGTGTAGAACAAGTTCTGATTTTGTAGGAAACTTCCTTTTATTGCGACATGCTGCAATAAATCACTAATGATGGGTCCTGACTCATAACTGTATATTATCCTTCAGTACCTGTAAGGAAACATTACCTCAGATCTCACCAGCTATTCAAAGGATTTAGACTTAAGCCAACTCCCCAACAAAGGCCAGGTTTCATGCTACCATTCATACCGACTTGTGTGTGATGCTCAACAAATGAATGTCACTCATATTCTAACCACTGAGCTGGTTTATCTTCAGTACCTCGTTACAATAAAAGCCTAATGTAAATAGTTGCGTAACCTCCAGTGATGCAGTTTTGAGTTTGTGCTTTCATGTAATAATGAGCATTAAGTTTCACAGTAGGCTGTGATGTTTAAAAACTTATTTAAGTGTTGATTCACAAGACAACTTTGGCTTCATATCGACTTGCTTTGGCAACTTTTCACTTTTATCATTGGGACAATTTACTACGAGTATGTTTTAGCTCTATTGGTCACTCTGTCGGTCCACAAAGATTTCCAGACCTTTGGTGGACAGTTTTCACCTCGGGAGGCATAGAGCTCGTGTGTGGTGTGTGGCAGTTAGAGTAGCCTGTAACAAAGGTTAATTCACTTCTAAACAGATTCACATACCATGGCAACACCCCTGAACTGTTAGTACTGCCAACAAGTTAATATTGCACACTAGTAAATCAACATCTTTAGACTCACTGGAAACTTAAATTCACTCAACATGACCAATGAACATTTATCAAGATTAACTCCTTAATAAACCATCGACAATGTTGCTTTGCTGTCACTACTGACTTCAGACCAGGTGAGCCTGCTGCAGACCGTGCCGTTAATACATATGTAAGACAATTAGCTTGAAGTACTATTTTAAGTCTCACTTTAAAGATCGATACTAAAACGTAGAAAAAGACAGTTGCCTGACACACTCATGTAAGGAACACGTAACCGGTTTACGTCTTTTATTCGTTGACGAGAAATTACTACAACGGCAACAAAAGTTGTTTTTTCCCCCCCATTTTATTTTTTTGCAAAGTTTCCTCTGCTGCAGCGTCACACTTAGAGGCTCCTGTGAAACAAAAGATACAAATATTTGTTAGTTGTTGAATTCAAAATTGCCAAACAATAGATTTTAACACAAGCTTCCTGCCAGGATTTGCTTAAGATACGAAGATACAAATAACATCCATTAAATGTTTAAATTCAGAAGCAGTGTGAAATGATCAAATGAAGAGCAACTGCATTTCTTTTGTCTCGGCAGCAGCATTCATTATCTAATCCACGTTTCCAATGTGAAAGTTTATTTTTAGTATTTTCTCAAATCACACACAGACCACAGCCATTGTCTGTTATGAGTGACAGGGGCTTCTCCTAACACTAGTCAAAATGTCTGCTGTGAACTAGACTTTGTTTTAATTTACTGTATAAGACTGTTTCAACAATTACTGAAGTACAAGACGCATCCTCCGACAAAGAGGAACAACTTCTGCTTTAAGGGAGGTCATGTATGATTATAGTGCAGCATCACAGAAAGGCCTGCACTACACTGGTCAGGTGTTATGAACTATTCCTTTCCAGAAGAAAAAAAAGTTTAAAAAAAGTCACTATGATTCAAACTACAGATAACCAAAACTATGTTGGTCAACCTGATTCATATCTATTAAAAAAACGGTAACTGCCACATTTACGACACTTGGGAACAGGTTCTTACTTTGCAACAATAGAGTCATTCTTTGCCAGCCTCAGGATGGAGTCGTCAGACTCACCCTGCAGGACGAAAGAAAAGATGTTCAGACAAAAGATTTCAGCATTTATAAGAATATTTCATGGTGGAGGCAGGTTTCCACAGTCAAAACACGTTCCAACACCTTCCTCTTATCTTTGTCTCCGTTTAATTCTTAATAAAGGATGAAAGACCCTATCCCACAAATAAGTCTGTACTAGAAACTACCCAGCAGCTGATTACTAAAAATGTAAATCTGTGTTCAGTGCTTCCTACAGGATTTTATTAAGACTGTGGTGGGTGGATCTTTGACCATTTAGGTCGGTCCAGGGTCATGATACCCCGTCAGAACATTCTGTAGATTTTAAAAAGGTAAATGCTTCAATCTGGTCCACTTTGAGAGCAAACCTGAGAAGCTATAAGAAGAACTCTGTGCTCTCAACAATTTGGTTCTCTCGTTTTATTAGTGGTGGAATGTAACTAAGTACATTTAGGCTACTCAAGGTACAATTTTGAAATACTTGTACTTTAATATTTCAATTTTATTTAACTTTATACTTCTACTCCACTATATATTGTTTTCTACGTCACTACATGTATTAGACAAGTCGTTAGCCTGCTAGCTACTTTGCAGATTGTGATAGTTAATACAGAATATACATTGACTAATAAATTATGATGTAATAAATAGTATAAAGTAGTTGAAATGAGCTCCGCCTTTACCAGCTGCAACATTAGAGTGACCAACACATTAATGGGCTACCAGTCTAGGTAATTAATGGGAAACACTGGAGTTAAATTTAACACTAATTCAATTTGAATGTCCAGAAAAGAAACCAGTGCTACAGAAGTAGTAACTGACAAAAAGTAAAGAAACAGAAATGAGTTGATAGCAAAAACATTGCATTGTACAATGTGACAAACAGACGAGCTTAATCCTCTCCTAAAACACTTTGACTGAGGAAACACAAGACAGCAGAGACGACACAAAGCAACAGATTGAGCGGAGACTCACCATTCTGCGGATGGCTCCACAGATCGCGTAGGTCTTGAACTGACCGTTGAAGCGACCGGTCACTTTGTCAACCTGCAGAGGACAGAGAACTTTGGATCAGAACATTTGATGTCCAAATCAGCCACTGCACGTGGGTAACCTGCACTTTTCTGCTAATCAAAACCGTTAAAAAAAACAAACCTCATGCCCTTCACATAATATTAGAAAAATCGTCATCCTCAGACATTGGGTTGGTTTCACAAAAATAATGCAACTTCAATAACTCCCAACAAAACCTGCCGTCTGCTAGCTTCCTTAAAACCATGACATGTTTTTACATTTCTGACAAATCTAGTTTGTTTAGGGATGCACCAATCCAACGTTTTCAGTCCAGAGTACCGATACCGATGTTTAATCAATACGCTGCATGCTGCATACGTAACCATTGAACCTCACTCTCATCATGGCCCTGTGGTTTACTCAAGTGGCCAACTTCATGCAAATATTTACCACCGACACTGACATCTACTGTTTGAACTTTGTGTATATTTGTAGAACAGACAGTACAGCATGTGTCACAAAGCCTTATTGAGAGTAGCAAGCTGATAAAATTCACAAATACTCTGACAGCATGATGCTGGAGATATTCTACCAGTCTGTTGTGGCCAGTGCATTGTACTTCGCCGTAGTCTGCTGGGGGAGCAGCATTGGAGCCGGAGACACCAACAGACTTAATAAACTGATTAAGAAGGCCGGCTCCATCATTGGCTGCCAACAAGACAATCTGGAAGAGGTGGTGGAGAGGAGGACACTGAAGAAACTATTATCCATATTGGATAACCCGGACCACCCTCTCCACCACCTACTGCAGGGACAGCGGAGCACTTTCTCCAATAGACTGATTCAGCTCCGCTGTCACAAGGACCGATACAGGAGAACATTCCTGCCCTCTGCCATTAGACTTTATAATAAATCACCTCTGGCCAAATCAAACACTAGACTGTAACCCTGCTACACTGTTGCTGCTGTTGGTGATCTTGTGCACTACTGTTTTGTTTATTTTCTCCTACTTAGTTAATTTAATATGATTCTATTTACTGTATATACTGTGCATTTTTATTACGTTATTTTCATAAATTTAATAGGTCCTGCTCTGTTATTTTATTATATTGTATATAGTGTGCACTTTCCATTTTCCATACTTAATATTTCTATTTTATAACCCTGTTTGCTGCTGCCACAGACAAATTTCCCCCTGGGGATGAATACAGTATATTTCTATTCTATTCTACCTTATTAGGGTTCAAGCATACAAATGCCATCTATGTAGACAAAGGTATCCTTGGAGTCTTGATACCTCGTCTCTATATTATAAGAGTTATTAAATATAACTGATATTAACCATAAACAGCATGTTTAATAGTGGCTCAATCTGGACACACTAATCTTAGTTTCATGCTTTCTATTACATACGACAGGATGAACTAAGACTTACCTCAGCGATGTTGAGCTGGACGGAGGCATGGTCCTTCGCTCCAATGATTCTGTTGCTAGCAGAGCTGCAAAACACGCATCAAATATTTGAATTTATTGTTCATCTAAAATAAATCTTGCCATCACTCACGCCGATACTCTGCATAACAAAGCTTTCAGCTGAGCCTCAATTAAACAATTTATGATGTTCCCAACAAAATATTTTCTACTACAGACCAGTCCCCAGAAATATTAAATCCAGTATTATTCTCTAATTACCCTACCACTGTGGTGAATGTAACTAGGTACACATACCCAAATACAGCTATTACTGAATTTGCACCTTTTTTTTTTTTACATTTTATGCTTCTCACAATTTGACAGCTTTTTGTTTTTTAAAAATCCCATATTCTATAAGATAATGATTTTATAGAATATGAAGCATTGATCACAATTAAACTACTCAGTATTATATAAATGAGTAAAACATTGGCACAACCTTAATCTGGAAATGCAACTCACACATTAACCCAGAAACACTGACGGGGAACATTTTTCTTAACAGTCAACAATGTACAATCAATACAAAGTACTACTACATATTATATACTTGTACTCGGGTAAGGTTTGGGACTTTTACTTGAGAGTGGAGTATTTTTACAGTGCAGTATCAGTACTTCCAGGTAAATAAAGGAGCTAATACTTATACTAATACTTAGCACACAGCAACAAGGCACTCACCATTTACGTGGGACGTAGAGGTCCACAAATTCACCAGAGTCGTTCTGCATGTTTACAGGTCGTACAGGTGGTCGCCTACAAATCTGAAAGAAATGTGACCAAAAAAAAAAGACATCAGAAATTGGCATTACGTTAATTTCGTGCGCTAACTAGCTAACATTACAGTCTGCTAACACTCTCAGAGAGGCTTAACGTTGTAACAGTCGCTTGTTCCCAAAGCTACATACATAAATATATATATATATATCACCGTATTAACAAACACAAAGAGTACATTTATTTTAATGCGAGTCTTCAGAGAAACCAGCAATTACAGTTAGCACTGATAGCATGCGGCCGCGTGTGGCTGCTCACACACTCGGGAAACGTCTGAGATTTACACACAACTTCTGCCATAAACACCATCCACAGGTCATCTACCACTACACAGCCACGTTAACTTTGACATATTTCACAGAAAATCGCGGCTATGTAGGGATAGAAGACGTATTTTAACCGTTTTGAAGACGACAACTCGACAGACACTCACCGATACGATAAATGGCCGACAGGAAAGGAAGAGCTGCCAAACCGGAAGAAGAAATATCTCTCTCTAGATGTTGTTGTTGCCACCTGCTGGCTAGATGCTGGTACTACACACAGTCTACACTAGATGGCCAAAAGTAGATAGACACCCTGCCTATATACTTTTAGACAGGGGCTGTTTCATGGTTTGGGTATGTATATGTGTATATTTCTTTATTTGAACAGGGACAATGTACTCTTTATATTTATATATATATATATATTTGCAACTGCTGCACAATAATTTCCCTGGGGATATAGTTTCAACATATCTTATCTTCAGGTCCAATGAAGGTAAATGTTAAGTCTATTGTAAAAGGATATTTCAGACAATAGCGTTCTTTTAGCTTTGTGGCAACAGTTCGGGGAAGGCCATGCAAAAATCCAGGTCCATAAAGGAAATGTTTTCCCAGTTTTGTGTAGAGGAACCTAAACTGCCTGCCACCTGAAATTTTAATAATCAATCAATTATTTGTTGCCATTAAAGAAACAAATCATAAAATACAAAAAAATAGAATGTAATTCAAACGTGTGAAAAGATGATTAAATTCACATGTCCCACTAACTATATTGTGTTCCTTATTTTGTCTTTAAATGAAGAAACATTAAATGGCTGACAGAAAGTATTTTACACAGTATAGTTGAGAGTAACAAAATACAAGGCAGAGCTCATTTGTCAGGTAGTTTGATTCAGTTATAAAATACTTAATTCAATGTTTAAAGCTTGCTTCCTCGTCTGGATGGGTGGAGTGAAACATCACCTCCGTTACCAACATGTGCACGCATATTTTTGATGATCTCGGGTATAAAAGTGTCAATACCAGCCTCCACTCATCTCGTTTTAGGCTTTCCAACAGATGTTGAACCGGGCAGCAGAGATTTGATCTCATTCAGAGCATTAGTGAGGTCCGACACTGATGTTGAGTGACCACATCTGGCTCCCAGTCGACGTTTCAGTTCATCCCAAAGGTGTTGGATGGTGAGGTCAGTTCTCTGTGCAGGCCAGTCAAGTTCTTCCACACGAAACTGGGAAGACCATTTCTTTATGGAGCTGGTTTTGTGCATTGAAATATTGAAACAGATGTGGGCCTCCCCAAATGGTTGCTACAAGCTAGGAACACATTATTGTCTAAAATCATTGTATGCTGTAGCAGGATTTCTCTTCTTTAGAAAGAAAGAGGCAGAGCCCAGAAAATGGAAATCAGCCCCAGTACACAAACAAACGTGACCACATATGCTTAGCTACTGTATATAGTGTACTTTTAGCACAGGTGGTCTAGTGTTTCCAAATGACTGATACAAAAAGTCCACATTTTGCTTGTATTTGAATTTCATAATGTTTATTTAGGGTACAGTCACCTCAACCATGGTAGCATTATATAATGCACATTATGTAAAAGAAGAGTTTTCACATTTGTATTGAACACAAATATTCTGAAAGTACCAAGTTTTTGTTATTGAACATTACATGATACGTAATAAAAGTGTGATAAACGTATGCTGCACACGTACCACATCTTACAAAACATGTCGGGTTATTTCTCCACAAAATTGGATTCCCCTGATAACATCTACGACACCGCCAAAAACAGATCAACATATGATGTTTCATCTAATGCAATTTCAGCAATGACGGTTTCAACAATACAATTTGATTCATCCTATCAGAAAAGATGGACTTTTATATATTATTATATATCTATACCATATTTAATTGTAAGCTATGAACATCTAAAACAATTATACATTAGCACAGCTAATTAAAAAAACTGTCTTAAGATATTAATAAATACAAATGTATTTTTGAGAGCTTGACCACAATGGACCAAAGCGGTGTGAGACTGATGCAATCAAATACAGAAAAAACCTAACATCTAGGTTGTTGAAAATAAATTCCACAGTGAAACTTGTTCAAATAATATCACTAAGTACTACAAATGCAACAAGTACAACTACATCCAGGACTAGGTCTTGTCCTGATGTCCGGCGGTCATTATCATTGTTTCTTGACACATGTACACCCGACAGCCAAATTGAAGGGACACTTGCACCACTCCTCGTGTAGCTTGCGGTAGACGAAAATCTGGAGGAAGATAGGCTTGGCGACCATGTGCTCCACAGTGCAATCCTTGCAATCAGCATACTCGATGAGTGCTGGATCTCTGTCTGCTTCAATATTATTACTGAAAGAAAGGGGGGAAAGTGTCCATGAAAATTGAGGCATACATGGAAGCAGATTGGCAAACAAGGGTGGAAGTGACAAATTATGGAGAACAGAACCATCAAAAATCATATCAATGAATAAATAAATTACTGTATAAATAAAGTTAATACAAATAAATACATAAAGAAAAATTGTATGGAAGAGTGGATAAATAGGGGAATTTGTAGAAAGTTAAATAAATAAAAAAGGAAATTAAAACTGAAATATCAATTTATGTCACATTGTATAAAGTAATTGATTGATTAATTTATACCTACATTTGTATATTGAAATATTTGTTTGATACACAATCCCATTGTTGACGCACAACCGCCTTTACCAAATATTATTCATCAAGTCACTTTCTTATTTTTTCTTTTGGCAGGTTCTGTCAGGCATAGAAAATGAGAGGCTACTAAGGCTAGTTAATACAGGAAAGGTATACATTTAATACATTTACTTGTTCCAGCACTTCATTCAAGTTCTTTTAACAGCTAAAAAAAAATATATTCAAATCCAAGTTATTCTTTTTTATGATCAATTGATTTGATATGTTGGCCGTAAGCAGGGTTTGAACTTCGACTCTAGCTCTCTTCTTCCATTCTTGACACAATGCCTTTTAGGAATGAATGAGAAGATGTGTGCCTTTACCACCTTCTTTTTTTGATTTCTGATGTGTTCGGACGACACTTTGAACCAGTTGTCTTAGCATAACCCGACCTATGGTCTAGTTAGAAGCTTAAGACAAAGTTCAGCTCTGCAAAGTGACTCAATTACTTTGACTGCAAATATCTTTTAAAAGAGCTATTATTCATTTATACATCCCTCAATGTACTGCTAGTTAAGAAAAGATTCTCTCCTCTGGCCAACAGAAAGGAAACTCACCTTAAATTCCAGGGTGCAACTGAAGAGTGCTCGAGCTCCGACACGTGTCTGAAGCCCTGATAGCAATTCCTGGTAGCACGTTTACAGCCAGGGCCACATACAGGGCTGCTGTACACCGTCCCCATCAGTCCCAGTGATAACTGGAAACACAAGTAATATAAATGTATGTTAGATTCACATTATCAACATAATTTGTGTTTCCTATCTCTCCTCACTCTCTAGTACCAAATAAAAGCTAAAATACAAAAAAACACTTTAATATTCATCGTCATATTGTTGGAAAAATATCTTCTCACACCACCTGCTTCTATGAATGAAATAGCGTTCAAAGCTTTTATGAATTTTGCAGTCAAAATTATTCTTAGAAGGTTCTTCCACAATATTATTTTTATGTATCCTGTGGGGCAAAATCCTAACTATCAGCACCTTTCTTTGGTAGCAGAAGGCATACAGTCTAATATTTATGCACTGCATGTATAAAGCATTAGATCAGATGTATCAATCTATTGATCTGTGATGAGGTCTAAACTGTTACTGTTTCCCCCAGATCATTGATAGTACTCACCAAAAGAGCAGTGAAGTTCATGGTGAGGCTGATGAACCGAAGCAAATTCCTTGAAAGCAGAGTGAAAAAAGGTGATCCTCTCCTGTTGTCTAAACTCAAGTGTCCTCTTCCACAGACCTGTCTACACTCTCTCAGCGTTATTTATACCAGAGGTGACGAAAGAGTATTTGCATCAATGGGAAATCACCGGAGGCTATCCCCATGACACCATCAACAGTATGTTGTCATCTCAACTTCATATTCACCTGTGATTCTTGATTTCATTTCTGGTTTAATTTCTCAGGTATTAAAAGAAAATACACAACTAGCTTCCAGTAAACAATACAGAGAGCTGTGGATTTCCTTTTTTGATTCGACTTCAGTATATTTTTGCTACCGTCTTACAAACGTGAATTCTTTTTCTAAATTATTTGTCAGAATCAGCAGAATTATACGTTTTGACTTAAAACCCGAACCTGCGATAACCTCAATGCAGGACCTAAAACACAGAGGTATATGGCTTAATCCATTATCCTGTTCAAGTCGATATTTTATATTTTATATGATACAAGTCTATTTTTAGACTACGTCATTCAATACGTCATTCAAATATGAATGACGTATTGTCTGATGAAGTAGTATGAGTAGTCTTTGTAAAACACAGAAAATCCAAACAAAATGTTATCAGTGTGGATTTGAACATTGTTGAGTCATCCTGCTTCTACTCCTGATACCATGAAACAAACCACAACAACGCAAGGACAAGTGAAAGGGGTACCTCCTAGACTGATTGCCAGGGGATTACACAACTATTACAGTGTCCCTAAGGTAAGGCATGAGGCAATTGTCTTAGAAAAGCCACCACAAACGCACACGCAGGAAGCTATCTCCATGACACCATCATCAGGCGTGTGGTGACAAGTATCTGTACTTGTCACCACACGGCCTATACACATGTCTAGCATGCAATCCCCGCTTGCTCCCTTGTTTTCGTTGAACTGTGGAGGTTCAACAGGGACAAAACTACTGAAGTGCAGAATTTGGAGCCTAATAGTTTTTGAGTTCACAAGAGAATGTGTCTGTCCCAATTTGAGCAAACAAATGGGCTATGGTCAAAGCTGCTCACTCTCAGTTTTGCCATTTTTACAAACACATTAACTTCAAGTAACAGCAAAGAAACAATCCATTGTATTTGATCTATATCTGAATTTTAATAATAGAAAACAGTAGTCCCTGTGAAGTCGTTCCTGTGAAAATTAACGCTCAAACTTCTCCTAGTTACATATAAAGCAAACACATGAATTCAGCATTCAATCAAAGTTGTATTTTTGGTCATCTGAGGAATGAAAATCCAATATTCCCTCTTTTAATTCTGGTTGAGTCTCCTGAGAGACAATATCTGGCTCTGAACACTAGATGC